ACAACAATTACATAGTTGCCCCCTCAAAACCTGGCCCCCTCAAACCTTTGAATACTGAGGAGGCCTCCATGATGTAATCCCCCAAAGCCATAAATAAAAAAAAAAAAAAAAAAAAAAAAAAAAGTAGCAGCATTATAGCAGGATCCCTAGAAAATTCTGAGCAAAAACATCCATGATGTAATCCCCCAAAGCCATAAATCTGAAAGGCCTTCCACGATTCAGACCCCAAATTCGGGTCTCAGGGTCAGAGGCCTGGTTAAGAGAGACCGAGCTCGTCAAATTCAGAAAAGTCACAATCGGGCACCTCAGGAGTCCAGTCCAACAGGAACCCAGTAAACAGTCACATCTTAGGGGCAAGAGCCACGTCTTGAATAAAAACTATTAAAAAGTCATATTGAAGAGTTGCACCCCACGAGTAAGAGGGCAGTTCCACAGGTAAGAGTCATGCCCCAGAGCCAGGAGACACAGTCCACAGTCAAAAGTCATGATCACAAATGAAAAGTCATGACCCAAAGGCCCAAGCAGCAGCAGACCCATGGAAATTCGGGAAGTTTCCAGGCCTTGACATTCAGAAGCAGACAGGCCGTGGGGATGTGGTACCGGAACCAGTCAGGCCCCAAGAAGCAGAGGCTGGCACGAGTTGAAGTGCATTCCAAGACTACAAAAGGACTGGCCAGCCTACCATTCAGGCAGATGCTCATTCACATGAGTGTGGAAGTGATTGTGCACTTGTGCGCTAGTGAGGGAGGTGCGCTATGCCAGAGAGCAGCGCTGAGGGAGATGAGAGAGAGGAAGTAGGCGCTGGCAGGGAAGAAGGCAGCCATAGCTGCGCCAGCACCAGGAAGCAATGTAGTTAGTAGTTAGTAGTGGTAGAGCAGTGAGTAGTATTCAGAGTTGATCCTCATGTGTGTGTTAGTAGGAGGGAGTGCGTATGTGAGAGAAGAAGAAGACTGTGGAGAGTGAAGACCAGAACCATAAAGTGAGAGAGAGATAAGAGGGAGAAAGAGTGAGCTATAGTAGATACTTACCTGAAGAGTGTTGAACTTGGTGTGGGTAACAAGCGCTGATGAGCGCAGATGCCGAAACTCTTGGTGGTCGAAGAAGACTTGTAATTTTGTTGAGCGCTGGACAGTTTGAATTCATGATTCTCTCTCTAAATTCTGGTTGAGTGCTATCTGGTCTACTACTCGTCTTCTCTTTGTGCAATGTGTGTGACAATACAATCTGTGAATCTGTGAGACATGCATGCTGACTTGAGCACTCCATTGTGTGATGAGCTTTGAGGCTCATTGCAAATAGCAGGATCCCTAGAAAATTCTGAGCAAAAACATTTATCCATCAGTAAGACCATTAAATTACCGAGAACTTCGGTGAGAAGTCATAAAAGTGCAAGGAAAATGAGCGATAGCGAAACTCAGAAACCAAGCAGCATCATACACATGAGACCAGATAGTCGTGACCTCGAACCAAAAGCAGAATTGCAACACGAGTTCCACCAAATAAGAGCACAGCAAAAGCTCACAAGTGACAATGTTGGAAGAGTCTCATCATCATCAACAATGAACCAATGTCGAACGTCCTATCTGGCACCCTGCGCCCAGACTACAAGTGGCAGATCCTATCTAGCCTATCTACAATGCCGCTGGTGACGTCAACATCTCCCCGAAGTACGAGCAGATCTCGGACAATGCCGTTCGCCTCAAGCACCAGGTATGTCTCTTGTATCACTCACAACCTTGATCCCCCACACACAGATGCCACGTGCACCCAAGGACCACCATGCGCCCCATCCAGCTTAGTGCAGCGCAGCTCGGCTATGGCTGCCTGCTCTCCCTGCTCGCCCGTGAGCGCGTGGGCCTGGCCAGCGTGTGTCTTTGCAGGCGTGTGTCTTTCTCACTCATTATCAACGCATAATAATAACATTAGTGAGAAAGAAGACGAAGATCAACAGTGCACTTACCGTCTTGTCGGTGAAGATGTGGACACAACGCGAAGGTCGTCAAGGAAGTTGGTGGCATGAAGGCAGCTGGCGATGGGGAGGTCAATGGGGCAGGGAGAGAGCTTGATGCCCACAAAGACGATGGTGAGACGGTGAGGGGGATATGAATGGCCCGTGGCTGTTTTGCTGGGGCATTCGAATCCGAATGCCCCAGCAAATCAGCCATGAGGCCTTTGGAAATCGTGTGTGAATGTCCACTGTTTTCTATCCTTGCCCGTGGCCGATGGGACCACATCCCTGGTTGTAGACCTTTTTTCTTTTTTGGGCTTCAATTTTCCTGCAATGGTGGGGAGCTTCACCGGTGGGACACGTTCCAGCGTCTCATAAAGCAAACAGTGCAATCGACTGCACAATTATGCACATGATCTCAAGGGAGCCAAGCAGCATTTGTTGGTTCCCAACTGGGGAGGATTAAGCACTGGCAAAACGTCTGCTCATTCTCTCCCTACTCTGCAGCTTTTGAACATTCAAGCATCAGTGGATACTCATCAGAGGAGCATTAATCATTCGCTCTCCTTTTATCCTAAAGGATAAAGCTCTTTTTTTTTTTCTTTTTTTTTTTCTTTTTTTCTTTTTTTTTTT